ATGCTCCACTTCGACATCTGCGGACCCATGGAAGAAAAATCTCTGGGTGGCAGCAAGTATCTGCTACTGATCGTGGATGAAGCCAGCGGATGCATGAAGGGTTTTTGTCTGCATTCCAAGTCAGAGAGCGAAGAGTGCATCAAGAAGTACATCACGATGATACAGACGCAGTTCAACAAGAAGGTCAAGTTTGTGCGACACGATGGAGCCCGCGAGTTTGCGACGAGCTCGCTTCAAGATTTCTACGAAGTCGAAGGCATCGAGCAACAAACCACGGTGCCATACGCACATCAAGCCAATGGAACTGCTGAACGCGCGATTCGAACTATCGTCACCATCGGTCGTAGCATGCTCCATCATGCCAAGTTGGACAAGTTATTGAGGGTTACCGGTACAATCCGAACCTAGCGCGTAGTTCTTACGAGATAGTTTTTACATCGGTAATTACCTCAGAGATGATTAGACGCGTAGGATGATGAGACGCTTCACATGATTTATATGTACACCACATATAAATCATGTAGTAAGTAGTAAGCCCCGATAATCAATCACTTTCGAATCCTCCCTCAAGTGAGCAAGTGTTCTCTGCTTCGTTCTCTCCGGTCTCTCCGCTTCGTTTTCTCTTCGCCTCGCGCTCAAATAACAACAGGTTATGAGCCCAAGCGCCATGTCGTCCAACAACACCTCGGCCAGTGTCTCCATCGATAAGTTCGATGGGGACAACTACTCAACCTGGTGTCGCTACATGCGCGGCGTGTTTCTGACGAAGTCAGTCTGGTACGTCGTGAACCGCGAAACGTCTCCAACCTTCACCGACACGCGAGCTTCCGACGAGTACGTCAAGGCGAGCAACATCGCGTTCGGGTTGATGTTGCTCCACATGGACGCCGACTACCACCATGTGGTCGACAACTGTGAAGAAGCATGGACAGCGTGGTCGCGGTTGAAGATGCTCTATGGTGGGTCGCAGAAGGCGGGACGCATCTACCTCAAGCGCCAGCTGTTCAGCATCAAGATGGCGGAAGGTGCCAACGTCTTGCACCATTGCAACGAAGTCTTGAACATCGGCGCCAAGCTCAGCAGCATCGGTGCCAAGATGGAAGACGAAGACATTGCGATCTGCTTGCTGCTCAGTCTCCCGAAGAGTTTCGAGAACGTGGTTCTGAACTTGGAGATGAGCAATGCAGAGCTGCGCACGCAAGATGTGATCAAGGTGCTGACTAACGAGCACATCAAGCGACAAGGCGAGAAGATGACGACGGCAACGACAACGGTGAAGACTGAAGATGCGACAAAGGCATTCAGTACCGAGCGCAAGCCCTACCAATGCACATACTGCGGCAAGGTGGGGCACACGGCAGAGCGTTGCTGGACGAAGCAAAAGGATGAAAGTCGAGGGGCCCAACGCGGCGGCAATGGTCGTGGACGCGGGGCAAACAATGTCCAGTGGCGACATTATGATGAAGGCAACAGCTACGATCGAGTGGCGTTTGCAGTTTCGTTCGAATGTGGAGTTTCGACGAACAAGAATGGACCAGGAATGTGGGCCGTTGACAGCGGGGCAACACATCACATCTGCCACGACAAGTTCAAGTTTGCAAGCTTGGTCGAAGGCAATGATGGCGAGATCCTGGTGGCTGATGGCAACAAGGCGGCCATCAAAGGTGTGGGGACCATCGTGGAAAAGGTGATTCTGCCAAACGGGGAAGAGCGCGAGATCGAGATCAAGAACGCGCTCTATGTGCCCAGCATGAGCAAAAATCTGCTCTCGGTGCCGCAGATTAACAAGCACGGCAACTTCCAAGTGGTGTTTGACGGGGATACGATGTACGTCGCTCGCAAGGATTCCAATCAAGTGGTGGCAGCTGCGGATCTTGTAGACGGACTCTACTGGCTTCGCACGACGCAGCGATCGGCCAATGCGACATCACTCAGCAACGCTGTTGATCTACATGCGCGAATGGGCCATGCTCCAGTCGACGTGCTTCGCAGGATGGTGACAAGCCACATGATCAAGGACGCTCACATCCCTTCCAAGCCGAATGGATCAAGTGTGTGTCGAGGATGCCAAGAAGGGAAGATGGTCCAAAACCCATTCCCAAGCAATCGTGACAAGCGAAGTTACGACACGTTTGAGTTGCTGCACTACGACATCTGTGGCCCCATGGAAGAAAAATCTCTGGGTGGCAGCAAGTATCTGCTACTGATCGTGGATGAAGCCAGCGGATGCATGAAGGGTTTTTGTCTGCATTCCAAGTCAGAGAGCGAAGAGTGCATCAAGAAGTACATCACGATGATGCAGACGCAGTTCAGCAAGAAGGTCAAGTTTTGTGCGCCACGACGAGCTTGCGAGTTTGCGACGAACTCGCTTCAAGATTTCTACGAAGTCGAAGGCATCGAGCAACAAACCACGGTGCCATACGCACATCAAGCCAATGGAACTGCTGAACGCGCGATTCGAACTATCGTCACGATCGGCCGCAGCATGCTTCACCATGCCAAGTTGCACAAGTGCTTCTGGGCTGAAGCGGCAATGACGGCCGTCTATGTGAAGAACCGTTTGCCGTCACCCAAGATTCCACACAAGACACCGTTCGAGATTGTCTACAATTCTAAGCCAAGTGTCAAGCACATGCGCGTTTTTGGGTGCCAAGCATACATCTTGACCCCGAAGGAGAAACGACTCAAGTGGGATCCCAAGGCCCGGGCTGGATTGTTTTTGGGCTACGAAGAAGTGTCCAAGGCGTATCGAGTTTACGACATCGAAGCGGGGCAGGTGATGATAAGTCGCGATGTCAACTTCGATGAGTCGGCCTTTGGACTGTCGATGCTGATTTCCGATGACGATGTTGATGGCCTGGACTTCGAATCGATCGATCTTGATGATGAAGAACCGCGTCCGAGACACTTCAAACAAACAGGAAAGCGCAAGGCCCAACCCAGTCACGACAATGACGACGCAAGCATGCCCCGAGCAGTGCGCCAACGACCCGGATTGGAAGAGTCAAGTGCGCCGGATGACCTCTCTTCACATCGAGCCAACGAAGATGAAGAAAGGAAGTCGGAGGAACAACATGACACACCGACTTCCTCCGCGTTTTGGCATGCGAGTGCAAACGCCGTCGAAGCAGCGGTCGATTTTTCGGAGCCGTCGACATTTGAAGAAGCAGTGTCTGGCCCGGACCAAGTACACTGGCGCAAGGCAATTGATGCGGAGCTCGATTCGATGAAGCTTCGCGGTGTCTTTCGTGCGGCCAAGTTACCCAACGGACAAAGCGCCATCGGCACAAAGTGGGTCTTCAAGATCAAGCGCAAGGCGGATGGGTCGATCGAGAAATACAAGGCACGACTTGTGGCCAAGGGTTTTCGCCAAAAGTATGGCATCGACTACACGGAGACGTTCTCGCCCGTGGTCAAGTATGTGACGCTGCGAATGGTCATCGCCATTACCAAGCACTTTGGATGGCCCCTCGACCAGCTCGATGTGGTGACTGCGTTCCTGTATGGAGTGATGAAGGAGAAGGTGTTCTGCGCTGTTCCGGAAGGCGTCAAGATGGAAGGTGATTTCGACTGTCTCGAGCTGATCAAGGCGATCTACGGTCTCAAGCAAGCCTCGCGTGTTTGGAACGAGACCTTCGACGAGTTCATACGCTCGATTGGTTTTCAAGCGTCGGGATTCGATCCATGTCTCTACATCATGACTTCGGAAGGCCATTGTGTTTTTGTGCTGGTCTACGTGGACGATGTCTTGGTGACTGGAAGCTCGCTCGAGATGATTGCGCGCACCAAGAACGACCTCAAGACACGCTTCGAGATGACGGACAGCGGCAAGTGTGCCTTTGTTCTTGGGATCGAGTTATTGGACGGTGAAGATGGCAGCGTGACTATGTGTCAGCGCCGTTATGTCGACGATGTCCTCAAGCGCTTTGGAATGGATGAGTGCAAGGCTGTGGCAAGTCCGGTGGACGTCAGCTCTCGACTGGTTCCGAGCAACTCTGCAAGCAAGGTGGATGTCCCATTCCGTGAAGCAGTGGGTGCTTTGATGCATCTGACGACTGCAACGCGACCGGACATCGCCTATGCTGTAAGCTTTGTGTCACGGTTCATGGAGAAACCCCAAGAAGAGCACTGGGTTGCAGTCAAGCGCATCTTCCGCTACCTACAAGGCACCAAGATGCATGGAATCTGCTACAAGCCAAGTGCGAAGATCGACTTTCGTGGCTATTCAGATGCAGACTGGGCCGGTGACCTTGCTGATCGCAAATCGACGTCCGGCTACGTCTTCATGCTATTGGGTGCTCCGGTGAGTTGGGGCAGCAAGAAACAGCCAAGTGTGTCACTGTCTACAAGCGAAGCGGAGTACATCGCGCTCAGCCTGGCGATCCAAGAAGGCAAGTGGATCAATCGCTTGCTGTGCGAGATCATGGCGGCTGCAAACGAAGAAGGACCCGAGCTCGTCATCCGTGAAGACAACCAGTCGTGCATCAAGATGACGAAGAATCCGGTCAACCACGGCCGCGCTAAACACATCGACATCAAGTACCATCACATCCGTGATGAAGTCAAGCGCGGCGAAGTGAAGCTTGAATACTGCGAGACGACGTTGATGTTGGCGGACATCATGACGAAGGGACTTCACGGACCGCGTCACAAGGACTTGACGGCGGCGCTTGGCATCCGTGCGTGTTCGGATTGAGGGGGCGTATTGAGGGTTACCGGTACAATCCGAACCTAGCGCGTAGTTCTTACGAGATAGTTTTTACATCGGTAATTACCTCAGAGATGATTAGACGCGTAGGATGATGAGACGCTTCACATGATTTATATGTACACCACATATAAATCATGTAGTAAGTAGTAAGCCCCGATAATCAATCACTTTCGAATCCTCCCTCAAGTGAGCAAGTGTTCTCTGCTTCGTTCTCTCCGGTCTCTCCGCTTCGTTTTCTCTTCGCCTCGCGCTCAAATAACAACACAAGTGCTTCTGGGCTGAAGCGGCAATGACGGCCGTCTATGTGAAGAACCGTTTGCCGTCACCCAAGATTCCACACAAGACACCGTTCGAGATTGTCTACAATTCTAAGCCAAGTGTCAAGCACATGCGCGTTTTTGGGTGCCAAGCATACATCTTGACCCCGAAGGAGAAACGACTCAAGTGGGATCCCAAGGCCCGGGCTGGATTGTTTTTGGGCTACGAAGAAGTGTCCAAGGCTTATCGAGTTTATGACATCGAAGCGGGGCAGGTGATGATAAGTCGCGATGTCAACTTCGATGAGTCGGCCTTTGGACTGTCGATGCTGATTTCCGATGACGATGTTGATGGCCTGGACTTCGAATCGATCGATCTTGATGATGAAGAACCGCGTCCGAGACACTTCAAACAAACAGGAAAGCGCAAGGCCCAACCCAGTCACGACAATGACGACGCAAGCATGCCCCGAGCAGTGCGCCAACGACCCGGATTGGAAGAGTCAAGTGCGCCGGATGACCTCTCTTCACATCGAGCCAACGAAGATGAAGAAAGGAAGTCGGAGGAACAACATGACACACCGACTTCCTCCGCGTTTTGGCATGCGAGTGCAAACGCCGTCGAAGCAGCGGTCGATTTTTCGGAGCCGTCGACATTTGAAGAAGCAGTGTCTGGCCCGGACCAAGTACACTGGCGCAAGGCAATTGATGCGGAGCTCGATTCGATGAAGCTTCGCAGTGTCTTTCGTGCGGCCAAGTTACCCAACGGACAAAGCGCCATCGGCACAAAGTGGGTCTTCAAGATCAAGCGCAAGGCGGATGGGTCGATCGAGAAATACAAGGCACGACTTGTGGCCAAGGGTTTTCGCCAAAAGTATGGCATCGACTACACGGAGACGTTCTCGCCCGTGGTCAAGTATGTGACGCTGCGAATGGTCATCGCCATTACCAAGCACTTTGGATGGCCCCTCGACCAGCTCGATGTGGTGACTGCGTTCCTGTATGGAGTGATGAAGGAGAAGGTGTTCTGCGCTGTTCCGGAAGGCGTCAAGATGGAAGGTGATTTCGATTGTCTCGAGCTGATCAAGGCGATCTACGGTCTCAAGCAAGCCTCGCGTGTTTGGAACGAGACCTTCGACGAGTTCATACGCTCGATTGGTTTTCAAGCGTCGGGATTCGATCCATGTCTCTACATCATGACTTCGGAAGGCCATTGTGTTTTTGTGCTGGTCTACGTGGACGATGTCTTGGTGACTGGAAGCTCGCTCGAGATGATTGCGCGCACCAAGAACGACCTCAAGACACGCTTCGAGATGACGGACAGCGGCAAGTGTGCCTTTGTTCTTGGGATCGAGTTATTGGACGGTGAAGATGGCAGCGTGACTATGTGTCAGCGCCGTTATGTCGACGATGTCCTCAAGCGCTTTGGAATGGATGAGTGCAAGGCTGTGGCAAGTCCGGTGGACGTCAGCTCTCGACTGGTTCCGAGCAACTCTGCAAGCAAGGTGGATGTCCCATTCCGTGAAGCAGTGGGTGCTTTGATGCATCTGACGACTGCAACGCGACCGGACATCGCCTATGCTGTAAGCTTTGTGTCACGGTTCATGGAGAAACCCCAAGAAGAACACTGGGTTGCAGTCAAGCGCATCTTCCGCTACCTACAAGGCACCAAGATGCATGGAATCTGCTACAAGCCAAGTGCGAAGATCGACTTTCGTGGCTATTCAGATGCAGACTGGGCCGGTGACCTTGCTGATCGCAAATCGACGTCCGGCTACGTCTTCATGCTATTGGGTGCTCCGGTGAGTTGGGGCAGCAAGAAACAGCCAAGTGTGTCACTGTCTACAAGCGAAGCGGAGTACATCGCGCTCAGCCTGGCAATCCAAGAAGGCAAGTGGATCAATCGCTTGCTGTGCGAGATCATGGCGGCTGCAAACGAAGAAGGACCCGAGCTCGTCATCCGTGAAGACAACCAGTCGTGCATCAAGATGACGAAGAATCCGGTCAACCACGGCCGCGCTAAACACATCGACATCAAGTACCATCACATCCGTGATGAAGTCAAGCGCGGCGAAGTGAAGCTTGAATACTGCGAGACGACGTTGATGTTGGCGGACATCATGACGAAGGGACTTCACGGACCGCGTCACAAGGACTTGACGGCGGCGCTTGGCATCCGTGCGTGTTCGGATTGAGGGGGCGTATTGAGGGTTACCGGTACAATCCGAACCTAGCGCGTAGTTCTTACGAGATAGTTTTTACATCGGTAATTACCTCAGAGATGATTAGACGCGTAGGATGATGAGACGCTTCACATGATTTATATGTACACCACATATAAATCATGTAGTAAGTAGTAAGCCCCGATAATCAATCACTTTCGAATCCTCCCTCAAGTGAGCAAGTGTTCTCTGCTTCGTTCTCTCCGGTCTCTCCGCTTCGTTTTCTCTTCGCCTCGCGCTCAAGTAACAACAATATGCAATAAATCCAATTGTTACTAATGCACTCATAATAAATTTGAGAGCGGATACAACTTAGCTCTTAACATACTGTGCAAAGTATGTGAAGCAATTGAATTACTTTTTGTTTTCTTGCAGTAGATCCAGAGCGATCTTGTGATTACTTATTTATAGCTAGGATAGCTTTAGTAAAGATAACCGAGGCTCTTGTTTAGTGTAACAATAGAAGTTTAGGCCAGATCATCGTTTTAATGATAGTCATATGCACACAAGATTATGCGAAATTAGGCGTTCTGTCTGTACGCAGTCGAAATCACACATCGACTCTATATCAAAACGTCACCTACACAGCAATGTTTTAAGTTCATACATTATCAGAGGTTGAATTCAGCTATTCGAATGTGTTTTTGAGGAACCTTCGAAGTACGCCATATGCTCAAAACATTTTTTGGTGAGTGATGCACCTGAATAGATGTGTCTCGTGCCGCAGAAGAGATTGTAAAATAAAGAGTATGAGCATCATACGTGCATTTAGATTTGATTTTTAAAAAGGGCTTTATTATCTTTGATAACTATAATAGCATTTGTAGTACACTACTGTACAAACACTTTCCTAAGAAAGATGTAGAGTAGATATCTAAAAAAAAAGCCGCGAGCACTTAATTTTTACACCCGTTCGATGCTAGAAGACGGGCTAGTATCGCTTATTCAGTGGCTACACCATCGTGCTGATACCAATTTTATACGCTTGATAGCAGACCATACAGACAAATTCAGGCCAGTGTAGTAGAGAAACAGGTGCTGGTTGGCTTTGTCTTTCATATCTTTTTGGCTTAAAAGGTCACCCTAAGAGTAACTGTGGCATCAATAATAACAGGCCTAATCCTAATATAAGAATGAGAGATAGATTGTCAAACATCCATAACGTTGCAGTCTACATTTCGAATACATAAATGTTGTTACTTGAGCGCGAGGCGAAGAGAAAACGAAGCGGAGAGACCGGAGAGAACGAAGCAGAGAACACTTGCTCACTTGAGGGAGGATTCGAAAGTGATTGATTATCGGGGCTTACTACTTACTACATGATTTATATGTGGTGTACATATAAATCATGTGAAGCGTCTCATCATCCTACGCGTCTAATCATCTCTGAGGTAATTACCGATGTAAAAACTATCTCGTAAGAACTACGCGCTAGGTTCGGATTGTACCGGTTACCCTCAATACCCCCCCTCAATGCAAACACGTGCGGATGCCAAGCGCCTGTGTCAGCTCCTTGTGGCGCGGTCCGTGAAGTTCCTTGGTCATGATGTCCGCCAACATCAACGTCGTCTCGCAGGATTCAAGCTTCACTTCGCCGCGCTTGACCTCATCACGGATGTGATGGTACTTGATGTCGATGTGCTTGGCACGGCCATGGCTGACAGGATTCTTCGTCATCTTGATGCACGACTGGTTGTCTTCACGGATGACGAGCTCGGGTCCTTCTTCGTTTGCAGCCGCCATGATCTCGCACAGCAAGCGATTGATCCACTTGCCTTCTTGGATCGCCAGGCTGAGCGCGATGTACTCCGCTTCGCTTGTAGACAGTGACACACTTGGCTGTTTCTTGCTGCCCCAACTCACCGGAGCACCCAATAGCATGAAGACGTAGCCGGACGTCGATTTGCGATCAGCAAGGTCACCGGCCCAGTCTGCATCTGAATAGCCACGAAAGTCGATCTTCGCACTTGGCTTGTAGCAGATTCCATGCATCTTGGTGCCTTGTAGGTAGCGGAAGATGCGCTTGACTGCAACCCAGTGTTCTTCTTGGGGTTTCTCCATGAACCGTGACACAAAGCTTACAGCATAGGCGATGTCCGGTCGCGTTGCAGTCGTCAGATGCATCAAAGCACCCACTGCTTCACGGAATGGGACATCCACCTTGCTTGCAGAGTTGCTCGGAACCAGTCGAGAGCTGACGTCCACCGGACTTGCCACAGCCTTGCACTCATCCATTCCAAAGCGCTTGAGGACATCGTCGACATAACGGCGCTGACACATAGTCACGCTGCCATCTTCACCGTCCAATAACTCGATCCCAAGAACAAAGGCACACTTGCCGCTGTCCGTCATCTCGAAGCGTGTCTTGAGGTCGTTCTTGGTGCGCGCAATCATCTCGAGCGAGCTTCCAGTCACCAAGACATCGTCCACGTAGACCAGCACAAAAAACACAATGGCCTTCCGAAGTCATGATGTAGAGACATGGATCGAATCCCGACGCTTGAAAACCAATCGAGCGTATGAACTCGTCGAAGGTCTCGTTCCAAACACGCGAGGCTTGCTTGAGACCGTAGATCGCCTTGATCAGCTCGAGACAATCGAAATCACCTTCCATCTTGACGCCTTCCGGAACAGCGCAGAACACCTTCTCCTTCATCACTCCATACAGGAACGCAGTCACCACATCGAGCTGGTCGAGGGGCCATCCAAAGTGCTTGGTAATGGCGATGACCATTCGCAGCGTCACATACTTGACCACGGGCGAGAACGTCTCCGTGTAGTCGATGCCATACTTTTGGCGAAAACCCTTGGCCACAAGTCGTGCCTTGTATTTCTCGATCGACCCATCCGCCTTGCGCTTGATCTTGAAGACCCACTTTGTGCCAATGGCGCTTTGTCCGTTGGGTAACTTGGCCGCACGAAAGACACCGCGAAGCTTCATCGAATCGAGCTCCGCATCAATTGCCTTGCGCCAGTGTACTTGGTCCGGGCCAGACACTGCTTCTTCAAATGTCGACGGCTCCGAAAAAATCGACCGCTGCTTCGACGGCGTTTGCACTCGCATGCCAAAACGCGGAGGAAGTCGGTGTGTCATGTTGTTCCTCCGACTTCCTTTCTTCATCTTCGTTGGCTCGACGTGAAGAGAGGTCATCCGGCGCACTTGACTCTTCCAATCCGGGTCGTTGGCGCACTGCTCGGGGCATTCTTGCGTCGTCATTGTCGTGACTGGGTTGGGCCTTGCGCTTTCCTGTTTGTTTGAAGTGTCTCGGACGCGGTTCTTCATCATCAAGATCGATCGATTCGAAGTCCAGGCCATCAACATCGTCATCGGAAATCAGCATCGACATTCCAAAGGCCGACTCATCGAAGTTGACATCGCGACTTATCATCACCTGCCCCGCTTCGATGTCGTAAACTCGATACGCCTTGGACACTTCTTCGTAGCCCAAAAACAATCCAGCCCGGGCCTTGGGATCCCACTTGAGTCGTTTCTCCTTCGGGGTCAAGATGTATGCTTGGCACCCAAAAACGCATGTGCTTGACACTTGGCTTAGAATTGTAGACAATCTCGAACGGTGTCTTGTGTGGAATCTTGGGTGACGGCAAACGGTTCTTCACATAGACGGCCGTCATTGCCGCTTCAGCCCAGAAGCACTTGTCCAACTTGGCATGATGGAGCATGCTACGACCGATGGTGACGATAGTTCGAATCGCGCGTTCAGCAGTTCCATTGGCTTGATGTGCGTATGGCACCGTGGTTTGTTGCTCGATGCCTTCGACTTCGTAGAAATCTTGAAGCGAGCTTGTCGCAAACTCGCGGGCTCCATCGTGTCGCACAAACTTGACCTTCTTGTTGAACTGCGTCTGTATCATCGTGATGTACTTCTTGATGCACTCTTCGCTCTCTG